AGAACTATCCTGAGAGGCAGGAGCTGTGAAAGGAGGAAATTGATTCACATGGATCTTCACACCAAGTCATCATTTCCAGGGACTTTCAGCTGTCTAGATTCTTCTCTGAATTGATTATCCTGAGTCAGCATTTTTACATGCTATCTAATAGATTTTGCATGTGACCTGAAGTTTTCAGTGGAGAGTGGAGCTTGTAAAGGTCAGAGTCAACAGCAGAGTCTTCTGCTATTTGTACTGCCAAAGTAATTTCACTACAGTACAGTTCTTCCTAAGTGAGCAAGCTGCTGGGGTGGGGTACGGCAGTTCTTGGCTGAAACATTATACCTTCCTATCCAAAGTAGCATGCCTCCTGCATCTAAAAACCACAAGAAGCCAAATGCCTCCATCTAAGCCACTTTCTAATAATCTTTTAGAGGTATAAACCTTCAGTATTAAGCTTGGTGCTGCTGGTGTTTGGTCTGGTGGTGTGGCCTTGCACACAGCTGCAGTAGGCAGCCTCTGCACTGGCAGCACGGAACAGTCCTCCTTAGACCTGATCCAAAGCCTAGGAAAAGTAATGGTGGTATTTCCAGTCAACATCAGTGGGCTATGGGTCCAGTACAAAGTTATGTTTTATGTGTCATTGGTAAAGTTACACATAAAAAGAGAGCCAGCGCTGCTGCTGCTTCTTGGAAAGTGAGAGACGATACAGTTCTTCGCTTTTATGATGTGAGGATACAGGCTGCCTGCATGGCTTTGAGGTGTTTAACCTTCCTTATGAGAGCTGGGTGTTCAGCAGCTTGCTAGTTTAGTTCCTAATTGACAAGAGTATACTTGTGACTCGACATTTAATCATGGATGCTGATTGGAGTAATTTAATCAAAAAACTGATTGGGGTAATTTGGAATAGGCCCCACTGGTGAATGTCAGTGGTTAAGATGTATTGTCCAGTGGAGACAATAGCTAGTAAAAGATAGGGTAGAGATTAGGCAGTGAATAACTCCTGTGTTTTCGGACACGGGACACACTAGCCTTGTTCACTGATAGTTCCCTCTCAACTTCTCAGGATGGTGAGAACCCCACAGTCTCACAATATTCACAGACAGGGTAAGCAGTGAGGTGAGGAAGCTTGCTGATGGTGCTACATTATTCAGATCATTGAGGAACGGTCAGACTGAAGAATTCTGGAAGACCATTGTGAGGCTGGGGTTCTGGACAGTAAAATCATAAATAACATATGGTCTGGGTATACACCCAGTAATGTGCATAGGGACGAAAGCAATCAGAACTTCACCTGTGAAATTACTAACTTTGAGCTGACCTGTACCATTCAAGACCAAGATACTGATATGGTATGTAACTTGATGAAAGCTTTGTTTCAATGCTGAGTGGTGGTCGGATATGTAAATCAAGCATTAGGAATGATTAGGAAAGGCATAGATAATTAAATAGCGAACACTGCTGTAGCGTGGCACAAGTCCATGGTTTCGCCTCACCTGTGCAGTTCTAGTCCTCTCTTCTCAAAGAGGATATAATAAACTTGGAAAAGGATCAAGCAGGAGCAACAAGGATAAGCAAAGGTGAGGAATGACTTTATCTTCAAGAATGACTGCAGAGACTAGACGACTGTAGGCTGGAAAAAGAGACAACTTGCCAGGAACGTGATGCAGATCTCTAGGCTCAGGAGTGGCATGGAGAGGTGTGGATAGGGGTCAGCCATTCAGTGTCTCTTCCAAAACAAGAACATTACACAAAGCTAGTAGCAGTCAGGTTCAGAGCAAAAGGAGATGGTTCTTCACTGAGTGTGTAGCAGACCTGTGAAAACTGTTGCTAAAAGATGTTGTGAGTGCTAGAACTCTCTCTGGGCTCAACAAAAAGCTGAAAAAGTACCTGGAGGAGAAATCCGTTGAAGAATCTAAATACAGAGAAACCCTCTCCAGCTCAGAAGATCCTCTGACCTGAAAATAGTTGCAGACAGGAAGAGTACAGAGAAGGAAGTATCATATATGCTTGTCTTGTTCTTTCTCTTCCCTCAGTATCTATTTGTGACCACTGTCCAAGTCCAGGGACCTTTGATCTGACACAGTTCATGTGTTCTTGTGAAACTGGTAGGGTGCCCCAGAGGAGAGGTCTGCAGCAGCCCCTCTCAGCTCCCCAGCTGCAGATCCCTGTGGCAGAGCTGTGTCTATGTGCAGCAACATTACTTAGCTTGCTCTATGCCATGTCCTCCTCTGCCTTCTTTATGCAGCATGCACTTTCTTCCAGATGTTTGCATGAATTATCTGTTAAATTATACAAGTGGTTTTTTTTTTCCTTGTAAGAAAACACTGTTGGTAGGTGTGGTGTTTGAAAATGAGGGGAGACATGTAGACCCACTGGACTTTGTCATGAAGAAGGGAAAAAAAAAATTCTTGCTTTTTCATTTTTGAAAGCTTTGGGTGCCATCTGCTGGATTCGGTAGGACCTTACACACTGGAGCAAAATTGCTAGTTGCTTGTTGAAAAGTGGTTGAAAAATTGAATTTACCCAGGGTTGCAGTGTCTTTGTTTGCACCTCCTGGTCCTTTTGGCTCTGTTGGTGATAAGGTAACCCAGGTCTGTGGCATGTACTCTGCCACACAGAGAAGTGCCTGCTTACAGTTCCCTTTTAAAGATGCTGTTCAAACTGAATTCTCTAATGGTTTTCACTGCCTTTGGTCACATAGTGGGGAAACGGTGGAAGGAAATAAGGATTGTCAGGCATTGTGTCCTGGCCATGTATTGCAGTAGCAGAGCCCACTCTGAGCAGCATTTGGGCTGTCTGAGGCTGCCGGAGACAGGGACAGGCAGACGCTGGAGAGCTGGAGAAGGGTGTTTGTCCAGGAGCCCTGCTTACTGCCTCTGTTTGGTAGGTGGCATAGGTGTATAGCTGCAAGATACAGCCCTGTATGTTGAACTGTGTGAAGGGGTGGTGTGTGAGTGTAGGTGGGTGAGGCACAGGTCTATGGGATGGGCACGGTGGCTGCTCTGCAGCTACGGCACCTGGTGACAGTGAACTGGTGTCTCTGGGCTTGCAATGTGAGATGTCCCTAGCTCTCACCTTGGGAATGCCCAAGAGCAAGGTAACAGAATAAGGTAACCATGGGCCCTTTTAGAGGGCTGAAGCAGACTTGGTATATTCATCGTCCAGGGGAGATGGTCCGCTATGTGTCTGCAGAAGAATGGTGAACAATATGACCTGTGTGAACAGCTGAGTTCACACATGCAGGGAGCTGTAACACAGTTACCCACAGCACTGCCTTGGGACACATCTGTCACTGTGAGACCCCTCAGAGTAACATCCCTTTGTTTTTTTCTTCCTCACAGTTATCTCTCTGGTGTGTTCACTCTCTCTCCGTAATTTGATGATACAGGGCTTTGGCAGCAATACTGGCTTGCATGGTCCCATCCTTTCATCCATCCCTTGCTACTTGTTCTCTCCCCAAGCCACAGTGCCCCTTATCCCCATGCTGTATCTGAGGCCGTGCTGTGTACTGCTGGGTTTAAAAAAAAAAAAAATAATCAAAACTACAGCATGATGAAATGGGTTATATTTAACTCGGACCAGTTCCTTTTTTTTTCGAATCACAATGTGCCCTCATAAACACAAGCAAGGGAAACCGGGTGTCTGCAGCGCTGAGGGGGGAGCAGGGACATGTGGCTGAGGAGCAAGACCTCTGTATTCAGCTCTGCTGCTGAACTCCTGGATCACCCTGCTGTGACCAGGGTTTGGCCTCCGCACCGGGGATGCCCTGACCATCAGCAGGCATCTGTGAGGAGACATCTGGGCTGCTCACAGTGCTCTGCACTGTGAGGTGTCCTGCTGAGCTCCCCACGTCCTGCACTGCTCTGGTCGGGGGACTCTACGATATGTATAAAACCAGGGTCCTTGCTGCTAGCTGGAGGTATGCTTTGAATTTTCAACTGCACAGGCTGAAAAGAGAGTGGTTTGACAATAGTGAATTCTTGGAGCATATTTGTGCGTTCACAATATTTCACTAACTGTGCACCTATAATTTGTAAGAATATAAATGGAAGTAACACATAAATGAGGGTTAATGAAGGCTTTTCCTTTGGTTTCTTTCTTTTCCTTGCGTATCAAGAGGTGGCAGTATATTATTCCATCCAAGCTACTAAAGACTTACAGCCTCTGCTGCTGTAGCAGGGGAACCAAATTCCTTTAGAATCTTAGAGACGATGTTCAGTCTCAGGCAAGTAGGCAGCCTGGCATTTTGGTGATCTTTGAGCTGCAATGGTACGTCACCACATACCAGTAATATGTTGATCAGTAAGGGGAAGAGATCCTAAATTTTGTCCAAAAGAACAGAAAAAGGTTTAAAAATTGTAAAGGTTTCTGGTACAAACAAATGAAGAAGATTACTTCTGATGGTGTTGCATTTTGAATGATCCTCCATCTAGAACATATGGCAGTTTTACATAGCTGTTGGCAAACGACAGCAAGAGCAAAGCAGAATAAAAATGTATAGGAAGAAAGCTAGAACTCGGCCCAAAGAGAGGCAGTCAGTTAGAAGGAAAAATCTGTTTCAGCTGAGAGTTTATGCTTAAACAAATTTAACATACTCTTTGAAGACTAATTATGTTCAGCATTCAGTCTGGATGCCTTACATATGAAAAACCACAATGAGAAACAGACTTCCTTCCAGTGTTTATGCATTAAGTGGTAGACCTTGAACCATACTTCAATGACTTCAATGAGCTCTAGATCACTATTGGATTTCTGTAACCCTTGAATTCATATTATAATGTATTAAAATTATTTCAAGCAAACGCTGCCAGTGGCAACTCATGTATAGTTCATAATCACCATCTTTTTTATATTTTCTTATACTTTTTTTTGCTGCTTCTTTTTTTTGAAATCATCTTCATGTTAATGTGGTGCCTACAGGCAGTGTTCTCACCGAGGTTACTGTGTGGTGCCTTCATACTTTTGTACAGTGATTTGATTTCTGTGTTTGTCTTATTTTATGAATTAATATCTTTCAGCACCCCCAGATTCAAAAGGAGTCACAATATATCAAGTACTTATGCTGCGATGATCAAGCAACCCTGCATCAGTGGGTAACAGGAATAAGAATTGCTAAGGTGAGATTAGAAGTTAATTTACTTAAATATGTTTTCTGTAAAATCCTGTCTTCCTCAGGTTACTGACTGTCATCACCTCAACTGGAAATACTGTCACTAAGAATGGAGTTTCATGCGAATTTTAGCATAGAAAGAACAAGCAGAAGGGCATGACTGGGATGGCTTTGCTGAATGTTCCTGTACCCTAGTTATCAGCGTGTTTTTCTCATTAACATGGGGTGAATTCTGTAGCTATAAAACTCATGTACTCATAAAACTTACTCCATAGTTATCTGGCACGATAATAATACACTGTGGCTAAAGATATGCAAGCTCTGGTCAGTCCAACTGTAACATTTTTCAGACAGTTCTGCCCAAATCGTCTGCCTCACCCTCTTCAAAAAGATCCTAATTCATAGCCCATTTTGTTTTGCATAAAGCATTAAGGGAGATGGGTTTATACATAGCCCAGTATACTGGCTGTACACAGACCTGCCTCTGTTAGGCATATATCCTTTTCTGCCAGTTCTGCTGCAGGGTGACATCCAACAAAGGTTTGGGGTGAACATCAAATTATTTTGTGTCTTACTGACACAAACACAACCGTTCTACAACTGTTGGCTCTAGAGCCCAGGATTCAGTGTCCCAAGTCTCCAGTCTGAAAATGTAATACTTGGAAAGCATTGGAAGAAGACAGTTATTGAGAACAGTTGGTTTTAAAACCAAGTTTCAAGATGTTTACAGATACTGAAATGAACATAAAATGTGAGAATGATATCAGTAGGACTGTGTTTGGTCACGGGGATTCATGTTTTACTGTGCTGTTACAGAGAGGCTTTCTACCTGGCCCTATACAGAAATAGGTACACCACTTATAGAAAGCTACTTTTTAACAAAACTGGGTAGGAAGGAATGAGGTCAGAAAAGTTGTCCGAGAGCAAAATGAATGCTTGGCCTATGTCAAGCTCAACACCATGCTTATTGTATTGTTTTGATTGTTTTCCAGTATGGCAAGACACTATATGATAATTACAAATGTGCAGTGAAGAAAGCTGGCTTGTCCTCTCGGTGGGCAAATCAAGGAACGGTGGAACCAGCTGCCCCTGCAGGATCCTTATCAGCAGGTACCAATGCTGTCACAGCAGTTGAAATCACATTTATTGCCCTCTACTGTCATCATCAGTGTTGCACATAGTCTTTGTTCAGAAAACTATCCCATTAATTCAGCAAGATAATATCTTGTTCTAGACAGCCCAGCGTAGCTCTGATCTATAACTAAGCTAGCAGCAGAGCGCTAACTTTAAAGTTAGAACATGAAGGATACAAAGACAGACCACCAAAGGTCAGTTTAAAGCTGCATAATTTAATAAGGTATTTTTCTGTCGGCATCTGAATACAAATCCTTTACCCTCCCTCTACATTTTACAGATTGATGGTCTAGGTCTTGAAGTTTTCTGTTTGCTCATCTCTACACAGACTGTCGGAGCTTTTCTTCCAATGAGTAAAAGGGATGAGTGGGATATTCTGAGAATGATCATTTCAGAAAGAGATTATCATAGGGTGAGCCACTTTCTTTCCTAGCCTTTCACTCATTTGCATGATAACAATGTGGGTGTTAGGAGAAGGACGCAGAGTAAGAAAGGATTGGGTTATTTTCTAACTTTACTTTTCCAGTAGCTTCATCATACTGCTGTTACCTATTTTATCATTGTACAGATACAACAGTGCATGATACTAGCTGTAACTTGGGTGGATGTTTTTAGTTTGCCTGCTTAAGATATGCTTTATTTATTAGGAAGGACGTGCTGGCCAAGTACTTACTGTCATAAGACAGGCAAAGTCACAATCAGTCTTGGCAGTTCATATTCTGACTTCTCATGTAGACAACTCAAAATCCTCCAACCCCCTTTGGAAAGCTTCAGTTTGCCTTTTGTCAGCACATGTGAGAAGACAGTGGTCTTTCTACTATTCCTTGGGGTCAAGTCATGGTAATAAATGCACATTTGGGGTGGGGAGACCCAGTGACAGACTGTTTCAAGATCAGGGGATTTTCTGATGGTTGGGGGCGTGGTACTATTAGCAAGGGTGGATGGGACAGTTGTAGAGCATTTTGTGTTCTGGTGCTGATGGCGGTAGAGAGGTGGCTGGCCAGTGGGGCTCCATGCTGGTGCTGCAGTCTGTACTGGATATGGGCAGGATCGAGGCCTTAGAGAGTATATATACATCTGTATTAACTTCAGCTCCTGACTAGAATCCAGGAACGCTGCATGTGATCATAAAATATGCTGCTAATCTTAACTAATGGATCCCATTAAATGGTTAAGTAGCCTGGAAAGATTTTAGTCATGTATGTTGTCGCTGTGGAAATATCGCTGAAGGATCATTAGTGTTCTAATTGAGGCAAGTCACTGTGATTCTTGCTGTCTTAGTTATCATTACTGCCCTATATAAAACCTGGGGCCCAACTATAATACTATAACCTGAAAACTGCCAACTGTGAGCAGTTGTTGGCTCATGTTTTGGAAATGGAACAAGGCATGTTTTCTTCTGTTCTGTTTTCAAATGGCATGTAGCCATTTGTATGGGCCGATTTCAGTATAGGCTAAAATCTGCTATAGAAAACTACAGTCCTGTGTGAGCTTAGCAGGGGGCTGTACTCTGTTAACTTCAGTGACAGCCAAAAGCAATGCTCAGGAAGGCAAGTGGAACTCCTCGCATCTCAGGTAGCCTGTATTCCCCAGTCATACTGCTGTAGCCTGCATTTGTGTGTTCGCGTATACCCCAAACTGTATAGTCTGTGGTTTTGAAGTGTCCCAAGTGCCAGCTGCATCTCAGGCAAAATATGTTGTTTGCCTCTCTGTCTCACTATGTATGTCTTTGGACATTAAAAAAACAGTGTGTGTTGTGTTCCGGGACAATATCATGATGTTTGAAAGATGAAGGATGTTGCTTTCAGATGTTCTGTATCACTACAAGGCTCAGTATTTTGCATTATATATTTTGGGTATCTATATTTTGCATTATATTTAGACAATTTTTTTTCTTTTGCTTAAACAAATTTAATGCAACATAAAATTTTGGAGAACTTGACTTAGTGAGAATACTGTAACATTTAAATTAAAAATAAATCATGAGACTAGAATGCATGAACTCACATATTGGATTGACTAGGGGTCCTTTAGCTGGCTGACTTTGTGTATAGCATATGTGCAGGTATGTGGCAGGAGATGATATATCACATGTTGCTTTCAAGTCTTGCTTAGTTTATGAAACCTATTAACAGAAGAAGAAACAGATTACCATTTAGCCATGTCCCAGCTTTCTGGTATATCATATTTGCCAAGCAGAACACTATACCTTGCACTATATACACTGTATCTCTCTCTGCTCTCTTTCATTTAGTTAAATCTCAGCATGACTGAGGGCAGCAACGTCTTTGCGCAGTGTGAAGCCCAAACTCCTGCTCTGCTATGGGCAGCAAAGTGAAGAGAGACAGTAATTTTCTCCACTTGAGGGCATGGCCACAGAACTCAGAGATTTACATCTCTCTCTGCTGAGCACTTCCAGACACAAGATCACTTTTACCTCTTTATTGACTTCCATGTTAGTCCTTCAACAAACACAGACTGTAGTTCGAATGATCAAAATGGTACTTTGGATTAAATATGCTGAACGACATGCAGGCACAGGCATCAAACACAAGGACTTCAGACCATCTTCTGTATTCCTTGAAGCGTAAACAGCCCTAGTAAATTCAGTACACTGCAGAGTTCGTCTTCTCTGTCAATCATGTGATTTACAGGCATGGCAATAAAAATAATTTATTCTATTTCTTATAGTCATGGAACCTCTTTGCTAATCAGAAAAGTACATGTTAGGATTGAAACCATTGTTGTGTTTAAACTTACATTGTAGACAGCAACAGGTTCACTAGCATCCAAGAAATACATGAGTGGAACTTTACTGGATCTCAGAACTGTAAATTATAATAGACCTAAGGGAGTCATTAAGGTTTACAAATGTGTGTATCTAGGCACCAAACACTGTCTACTACTTTGACATGTACAGCTTCCAAAAATCCTAGACTAAACTGGAGAGTTTATTTAATCCTCATCAGACTATACAGGGGCTGGGGATTTTTTCACAATTAAACCCACAAATTTGTCCTTTGGTCTAACATTCACTTATTCCATTTGAAAGTACTGGATTATTTATGCATATCCCTTACATAGTAATGGTGCGCAGACATTGGTAAG